GCCCTGACTTAGATCAGCCCAGAGGTTGTTGCAGGGCTCAATCTGTGAGTTAGCCATGCCCTGACTAGATCAGCCCAGAGGTTGTTTCAGGGTTCGTCTGTGAGTTAGCCATGCCCTGACTTAGATCAGCCCAGAGGTTGTTTCAGGGTTCGGATCTGTGAGTTAGCGTTGGGCTTGTGGTCCTTGCTGTTACAGTGACCGTATCTGCGGCAGGCCTGGGATTTGAGATTTATAACAAAATCAAAGGGTGCTGTGGGTTGTATCCGTCTGCTTGTAGTGATCGAGATGAGGTGTTGGAAATCAAGGGTCGTTTAGAAACTGAGAGTAAAGTAGTAGATGCTATTGCACTAAAAGGTAAGCATATTTTGTTTGGCATATTTGTTTTGTCTGTCTGTCACAGTTTAGTTGACTGTCTGTCTGTCTGTCTTTGTTAGTTTCAAGTGCTTTTTTATTTTCTTTCTTTTTCTCCTTCCTTCCTTTCTTTCTTTCTTTCTGTCTGTTTGTGTTTCTGCATCTTAGGGTGTCTGTCTGTATTCATGTCTAGCCTTGTTAACTGTCTGTCTATTAACTGTCTGTCTGTATCTCTTTTTTTCCATATGTTTCATCTAATTTCTTGATGTTAGTTGTCGACTGTCGGTATTAATATGTGATTTAAGTATCAATGTTTTTTTACTAACAGTCTATCTATCTACTATCCAACATTTCCGGACGTTAGTGGTCGACTGTCTGTATGTAATGGGTATCATATTTTTTTTACTAACTGTCTGTCTGTCATTCGAACAGCTGTCAATCGCAAAGAGGATGTCATTCACGCCAACTACAAACTACAAGAACTGTGGATTGAAATGGACCGAATAGGAGACTATGAAGTAAAGATTATAGAGCTTCTCGCCTCTAATGCTGTCAAGGGCATGAATAACAAATGGTTTGAAATCGAGGTAAGAAATCTTCCCCACCTACCCCACCCCCCTTGAAAAGCACTATTTGACAAGCTGTTTATTTACTGACCGTTAGTGATATAATCAGAAAATCCTACTTCTAAAGTCGACAGAATTTTTCTAAGCCTAGAAATTACTCTGTAATTCGAGAAGTTTAGGAGCCGCGGCAAAAAATTCACATGTTTGTAAATAAAGATTAAGCCTAAATTCACCTTAAGCTCAAAGATTTCCTATAAATTTTCTAATTTCTGTAAACATTTCTCAAGGCTCTCACTTGCCTTGTGCTTTTTCATCTAGCTTGTATTTTATAATATTCATTTTCAAGTACCTTTTGGTGTAGTTTAAGCTGCGTTCAGTTGAAATCTTCGGCTCCATTGCCATGTTTGCCGACGTCTTGAATCTCTTGATGAACATTTTCTTGAACGGGTTCGAGTTTCTTGTCGATAATTATACGCAGGCTGGAATAAACAGTTATATAGAAGTTAATAAACGTAATGTTTAGACGCCAAGTCATAATGCTGAGAAGTAATTTGGATATTTTTCTTACATTCATTCGGGGCAAAAAAATTCCAAGTTTGACAGTTTTCCATGTGATAAACCACAGGCAGCCCAATCTAGGTTTAATAACTTAATTACCTTGGGCTCCCTGTGGCTTATGCAACTCATTTCATGGACATATATAAATATTGAATTAATATTAATGATATTAATCTTTCATTCCAGCAACAACTTAAGGCCAAAAACGCAACAGTAGCAGGATGGTCGTACCTCGACGTAGACACCCAGTTCCAGTCATATCTCGATGACGTCAAGACCGCTATGATTGGCTTGTCTAGTTTTATGGGTTACGGATTAACAGCAATTTCTTATGCCTCTTATAACTATTACAAGAGGAATGCATTGGAAAAGGTAAGAATGTCTTTTTTATCGATTTGTTTTGTGCTTGCTTTCTCTGTTTTATTTTTGCTTATTGTTGTTTGTAACATCCGCCAGATTCAACATGGCCGCCATTTCTGTTACGTCATAGCCGCCATGTTGGAAGCCTGTCCAAGCCCTGTTTTCGATCATTTATTTTATTGAAATATCCATCGGTAGTGAAGGTTCTACCATCGCAAATTTCCAATTGCCCCAAATTAAATCTGCCATCAATAGAAATTTGGGTTTACCTCTCTAATACTGCTATATTAATATTCTTTCTTGCTGGCCCTTCAGAACATTATGAGACTCAGTACTGGAGATTCATACAAGCAGATGGTCAACGCACGTCACACTAAATCTGCGAAGATCATTGGCCTTGATAACGTTGGTATCAATAATTTCATCAAAGAGACAGCAACTGCTCGAGTGGATAGCAAGTTTGGTGGAAATAAATATGCTAACGTCCTGAATGGAATCAACATTGTCGCTTCTGCCATCACCATAGGTTAGCATTTTCACCAATCACTATCCCCAAAGATCTGTCATGCTTACTGCGCATGCTCCACGAATTTTTTATGCACCATAATAAAGCTATGTATAACCCTTATTAAGCGGACACCCTTCATTAAACGGACAGCTAGCATACTTTGCACGCTCCCGAAATGTTTCTCCCAATACTTACAGTAAAACGAACCTCTATTCAGCGACACCTTTTATTCATCGGACGTTTGTATGTGTTTGTCTACAGGTTTTGAAATCTACGGCGCCATTGAAAAGGTTAACCAATGTAAAGACAGGAGAGACAAAGTACATGATTCTCTGGTTGAAATAAGAAAAGCTGAAACGTTGATGAGTGAAGCAAAGCAAAATGCAACTGATTATTATAACTTGGTCGATCAACAAGTAAGTGGGATTATGTATTTATGCATGAAACGACTTGATTGGTTATTTCTGGTCACATGCCTAAAAGCATAGATTTGAATGGCTCTTTGCTGTCATGAGACAAGCGGGCTTTCAATTAGTTGGATTTTAGTTATTAAAAGTGAATAGTCCCTATTGGTTGGTTTGTCACCACGTGATATTTCTGATCCTAAAGGAAATGTTTTCTCATATCGCGTAACTGAAATGAAAGAATAATTTTGATTGGTCGACTCCAAGAGGCATGCGCACATGGGGCGTCACATTACGGGACATATATGAGAGCCCCTTTTCATGAAAGAGCTATGTAGAACTAAACGAGAATTTCTTTCTTTCCTATTTAGGGATGGAAATTTATCACAGACCAGATGAAAAATGCGAGCTTCCAAGCAACGTTGCTAGAACTGAAGAAGCTGGCGGAAGGCGTCTCAACCAAGACCCCAGGTGTTACTGATGCCATCACGAAAATTGGCAACTTTGTCGAGAAAATCAACTCCTCAGCGTCAAATACTACTGCCACGGGTCTACTAATGGACGACCTGACCGCTGGTCTTGGAAACATCAAGTTCCTTCTCAAGTGCATCGTGGAAAAAGGCAAACTCTTGAACTTCATGTCAGAGCAGTGTAAGAACGGTGTCAACTCCTTGGATAATCTTTACACTGAAGGCACCAACAGTTTCGGGGTGAACACAGAGGGTTGTTTGGTCGATGACAAAGGTACTCCATACACTAGCTTTGCTGCCGCCAAGACTGCCATCACAGAACGGGCCAAGGCAGAAGGATACAACATTGATTGTATTTTGAATAATGCTGACAAAAAGGATAAGGCATGCAGGTAATTATGAGACTGTAATGAATCTGTGAAATCTATGTATGATATTCTGGTACAGTCTGTGTGTCTGTGTGTCTGTGTGTCTGTGTGTCTGTGTGTCTGTGTGTCTGTCTGTCTGTCCTGTCCATTCAATTCCCTGTCTCAGTATCCCATTCGATTAGAGTATGATTCAACTTGTCTGACTGTCCAATCTTAATAACCCTGTTACTTGTCTGTCTGTCACAGAATGAGTCGCGATGGAGAAACAAACCAAACAATTGCAGACGAAATGAAGATAACCGAAGCTCAAGTTGCGCACTTCATCAAGGACTGTCCAGAACCCGAACTGACTCCATTACAGAAAGCAAACATTTGCGCATGGAGAGGCTTTAACATGTCTGATGAAGTGATTGTGACATTCCTTCCTGGTGTCAAGCTTAGCACTGTTAAAGCATACGTCTGTCCAACACCTGCAAGTTGAGGTTATTTATTAGTGACTATAGTTTTTATATAAGCACATTTTATTTTATTAATATAATGTTTTATATCGTAAGTTTTAAACAGGAATTTTATTATTATAATGTTGCATCGTAATTTTTAAACAGGAATTTGAAGGATTTTTGAATAAAAACCATTTACTTAACTTGGCTTGATCAATGCATGTCTGTCAAAACAGAGAGAAAACGCGCGTCCATCCAATCATGTTGCTTGACTTTTACTGAAACTCAAGAGTCACATTACTGTATTTCCCGTATGAATACACTGGGCCTTAAAGTTTGGGCCGGTTTGGTTTTTGACGCGCGCAAGCAACGGAAGCAGTAGCAGAAGAAAAAGCGTACGAATGACGGAAACACTAGAAAAATCAACGAAAACCTCATTTTTATGCAAAAATTTCCAATTCTGATAGAATAATGCATAGGCTAGTAAGAATAACTTGACCAAGTGCTCCAGCATGTGAGCGAGAGAATCATAAGTATCTGGTTTTCACTAGCGATCGAAGCAAAGAAGCAGAAAAGCAAATCGTTCCTCCTTGGCGCAAGCGCAATTTTCCGGAAGTGAAATGTAATCAATAAAAATCATGCTTTCAAACAGAGTTCTGTGTTTACTTCCGATCAAAATGAAAATTAGAAAGAGGGAAATGTTTTGGAATTTTTGGAAAGTCCTTATACGCATGCACTCTTATGCCGGAAGTCCAAGAAGTCCTGGTCCAAAAAAACGAATTATGCCAGAGCCCTCTTTCTTCGCCGCAGGCCAGAAGAAACGCAGGTCCTGGGTACACTAGATTGGGGAAAACATTAATACGCCCAAGGTAAAGAGGTTTACTACGTTGAGAAAAGTACCCGTTGTTTTTTTATCTTTCAAGGTTACACGAGGTTAACTAAACAATAAACGACTACAAATTGATCACGTTCCGCCCGTACCCTTTATAACCCTTAAACAAAATATCATTGCATGTTCAAAACCAAAAATTTTCTAGTTTCTTACGTTATCATATTTCATTATATTTTAATCACTATACCGACACTTAACTTTAAAAACTACTCGAAAAAATCTTTAATTTTCCGCAATTCTTGTTATATAAAGTGTGTGCAACCACTTTGACTCAATATCTCTTGAGATATATGAATAACAATGAAACAACCGCCATGTTGGCTGATCTAAAAAGAAGTTAATGCTTTGTTATCGTCAACCAAGATGGTGGTTATGACGTAACATGCACACGCTCTATTGAAGTAAAACATGTGAGAAGTCATGATTTTGTTGGGACAGTTGCGCGCGAAAACCAATGTCATGAGGCACACAAAGTTAACGCTAGAAAGAAATCGAAGCTATTGAAATAAATACAATTTTTCTAGTTCATATCAGTATTAGTTCGTTTCTGAAGCAAACTATAAGAACAAAAGAAAAATATAAGCTAAAAATTCTAAATCAAATATACTCGAGTTTTCAGCGACATTTGACAAAATCTCACTAAAGAAAGGTTTTATAAAGAGTTTATTCGTTTTATTTAGACATTTTTTTAGTAAGATGTATCCCAATACAATAAAATAATTTAAGACGTGACTGTCTTTTTTTCGTCATCTGGAATTTTCATCTCAAGCTATCACTATACGGAAATGTGCTTTAATGTCATATTAATAGTGCTCTCTCGATCACATCTGTAATGAAGGTCAAAAGTCCCCAGCATAACATATAAATATTTGCCGAAGAAAACTTCAGCTTCTCAGACAAGATCAGACGGTGTGCTGTTGCTTCGTAGCCGTGTTTTTAATCCTCGTTGGCCTGGAGAATTTTTTCTTAAAGTAAGTTCATTTTTATTTAAAAGACTGATTTGTAAAATGTGTAGGATATCTTATAAAAATATTTAACTTAATGCAGGGAATTGTATTCTGACTTTATAAAGACTAAATATGCGGCGCTGCGAAAGTGCCACAGCACTATAATGACTCGTAAGCTTAGTCAAAAACGTATCTCACTTCTGGCTTTATATTAAAGAAAATTATTGTAAAAATATATAATTGAATGGTTGTAGGTGATTTCGAACATTTTGTTCGTAGCTCAATATCTTCTAGTTACAAGTTTTTGGCTCGTCCAAAAAAAAAGTACCGCTTTAACTCGAAAATAAATAAAATAAAACACGTCCATGGCTTGGAAAGATTCACCAAACATCTTTCAGAAACATCATATTTTGTCGTCGTATTTGGAATTTTGTTTTGTTTTGACCAGAAATAAGGTAAATATAGATAGAAACTATCGCTGTGACCAACACTGGTGCATTACGCGTATCTCCTGGTTGTTGCCTTTACTCAGTATTTATAAATTACTAAAAAAATCACTGACATTGAAAACCGCTCATGCTTGATTTTAACCATAGAACAAAAACTAAAATTTTTTCTTCGTTATCTATTCATACTTATAATTTGATACCTATTTTTGATTAATAAGGAACTGTTTTTTTCCCAGCTAGAAAACGAATGTCGGTCCCAATGAGCTACTACCACAAACCAAGAACAAACCCTCTTGACAACAGAACCCTCTTTCAATTTCTCGACCACAACACCACTCAACATCCTGACAAAGAAGCCATCGTTTTCTACAACGAAAACAGCAACCGCTCCTGTCTGACATTCCAGCAACTCAAAGACCAATCCATCAAGTTTGCGGCTTCACTTCTCAAACTTGGCTTCAAAAGAGGCGACAGAGTTCTCATCTACGCTCCCAACAGTCTTGAGTTTGTTATTTGCTGGATAGCGTTAATTCGAATTGGAGCATGCCCAGTGCTGAAAAGTCCTGGAGACGTTGAATGGCAGGAATTTGATTTAGCTAAAGAACTCAAGTGCAGAGGTTTAATATGTAGTCTTAATGTCACAGAAAGCATAAGAAGTCGGTTAGTGAGTGAGATTGCATCTGATCATGCGCAGTCAAACGTAGAAATTATCATCACGATTGACCAAGATGATGTCGTTATTGCGCATGCGCAGGTGCACAAGTTTGAAGATCTCATAAAGCAAAGCAAGGAAGACGAAGTGATTGAGGTCAAAACTACCCAGACCAAGATAGACGCGGAAGAGACATTACTCGTATGTTTTACATCTGGAAGTATAGGAAAGCTAAAGGCTGTTTCCTTCACTCATCACAATGTTGTAAACGCGTTCAATCTAACCATTTCTGGAATCACCGCTGGTACAACAAAAGTCTGCCTCGCAAGGTACATGGCTTGGAGTTACGGAGCCGTTCTGCTCGCCAGTACTCTGATCAATGCCATGACTTGCATTACATGTGTTTGCAGTAATATATCAATGAAGGATTCTTTCAAATATCTTTTTGATATTGTTGAGAAAGAACAATGCACAGGGTGTGGTATTCCACCTCAACATGTACATCAACTTGTCCGAAACAAATTCCACAACAGTCATGAATTTTCTTCCTTGAAAACCTGGAGCTTTGGCAGCCAGATCATCCATCGTAAAACAATTCAATCTCTCCTGGAGGTCTTTCCTGATAAAAGGTCTATTCTTGTGTACGCAGCAACCGAGGTACTTACAGTTGCAATTCAGCCATTATGTCACTCAACCATCACCAAGAAAGAAGACTACGGCAAAATGTACATGCTACCCGACATCGAGGTCAAGGTCATCGATGAACAAGGTCACGTGGTTCCTCTAGGGAACAAAGGAGAAATCTGTGTGCGTGGACCAAAGGTCTTCCTCGAGTATCTCGAGGATCCCGAGGGATCAGCAAAGGCAAAGAAGGCCAATGGATGGGTTCACACTTCTGACTATGGAATCATGTTTGACCGAGCGAGGATAAAAGTACTGGGGAGAAAAACTGATTTGATTGACAGCCAAAATCAGACTGTGTTTCCGGTTGAAGTGGAGGAGATCCTGATTGAGCACCCAGATGTCTTGGATGTCGTAGCTGTTGGAGTACCTAGGAATGACGGGAAGGAAGACATCTGCGCATGCGTCATTGAGGCTCCTGGGTCGAACCTGAAGGAGAAAGTCGAAGAGCTACACAAATGGTGTGAGCAGGAATACTCCGTTGCTAATAGCAACCACCTTAAACCTAAATACATTATAACTTTAGAGGCTTTCCCTATCGCTCGTTCTKGTAAAATAGATCGTCGCGCTATGGCCCAATTAGCAAAACTGAATGTGTAGATTCACACAGATGAACACAGGTAGCCCGCGCTCCGGTTTTGCCAGTGTTTTGAACAGTTAATTTATTTGGATTTCTAATTCTTATCCATATGTACTCTGGCCTTGGCGGGTATTTGATCTTACTGCGCTAGTTTATGTCCCGTTTTTCCTTTTATTTTCATTTTCTTCTGGACTTCTTCTAGGACTGTATACATCATGTGTCTATAGGTGACTCTGTGGATCGTTACAGAATTTTACGACTAATTTTTCTCTTTTGATTTGTACAGTCCTATGAAAAACCTTTGCCGCTCACTAACTGAATAAATAAATAAACAAAATAAAATAAATGGGATTTAGCAGTGGCATTTCCACAGAGTGGCTCTTCATCCATTGTAATTCCAATTGGAATTTAGGTGTGGTTTTTTTGCGGAGGGAGAAAAGCCGGGGAACCCGGAAAACCCTCGAAGCACAGGAGAGAACCAACAAACAACTCTACTCACATACGACACCGAGCTCAGCGGGCTCGAACCCGGGTCGCAGTGGTGAGAGGCGAGCGCTCTCACCGCCACGCCACCCGTGCTTTCGAGCTTCAACCTGTGCCGCGTTAAAAAAAATGTTTTTGCATTTTTTTTGCAAAATTCCTGAATAGAATCATTAGTTATGGACAATAAAATAAAATTCATAGTATAAAAGCTGCAAATTTGGCGTAAAAAAAAGTCAACGATCCGTACGATCCAGCCAACCGAAGTCCATTCCRTTCCATCTATGTACGGTTCCAGATTTTCCAAAATTAAAAAACACTYAAAATTGGGGCTTTTAGAATAGGTAAACAAGTTTTAGAAGCCGGGCATGTTTTTGCTATGCATTACGATTATTCATGGCCTTTCAAAAGGTGAAAATTAAAAAATAAATTTGTGATTCAAGATCCCGTCACTGACTGAGGTCCAGTCACTTGCAATTCATTTTAGTCACAACCAATCCATTCCAGTGACATCCAAGTAACTACATCCTATGTTCCCATGTGACTATAGGTGACTCTGTGGATCGTTACGTATAGGAGTCTAGGAATAAGAATTTCCTGAAATGTATGGTATGAACGTATATAAAAAGGTAATCGTGAGGGTATCCTTGACCGTATTTAAGAGTATCCTTTTATTCAAATGACCATATTTAAGAGTATCCTTTTATTCCAATGACCATATTTAAGAGTATCCTTTTATTCCAATGACCGTATTTAAGAGTATCCTTGACCATTCTTATTTAAGAGTATTGGTACCGACCAATGTATTTAATTTATTGACGGAAGTGTATTGAATATCATTTAGACATTGCTATACAAAATACTAAATGACCGGCAGCCGGCCATTTTTGATTATGAAAAAGGTCCTTTCAATGGATGTGAAATAGTCATGCCCACATCCAGCGAAAGGACCTTTTCGATCGTAAAAAAAGCGGGCCCTCTCAATGAACATGAAATAGTCGGCTAGCACTCGTTCACTCGTGCCATGATGCTGTACTGAATACCCATCTTTTTAGAATAGACTTTCTTTTTGCCATTTATTGCGGTATCTATGGTAATGGTACGAGCGCTATCTTTTTAGTTTTACCATGTGATCTTGTATGGTCATCACAGGTGAGGGATTTTCGAACGTCTTTTTTCGTCAATTCGTCAAGTAATCTTCAACTTTCTATATTTTTTWAAGCTGAAAGCGCAAAGAATTTTTCTCGATTTTTATTTATTTATTTTTAAGTGTGAGTACCCGGTAGTATTATAGTATTGAATCAGGGGATAGGTGAGTATGCGTTCAAAGTCATCAGTATCACAAAGAAGAATTTTGAGTATACTGCTCATAGCAAGGGGTTAATCATCTACGGTCTAGGGGCCGACTAACCTCTCCCTTAGGCTTCGGCCGAGCTTCCTGATCAGTCTGTAAATCTCCGGATAGCGGTGTCGGGGCCGAAATCTCCGGCGTAGCCGTAAATGCTTCGCGCTGCCATACGAGGGTTCAGCACTCGATGTCTGGAAGTATGGTCCTAAATTTATTTWAAAAAAAACCTTATCCAAAATAATCAACCATATGCAATTTCCATAATCAACTCTGAATAAAGGTTTTGTTGAGTCCTGAGTGCGCATGCTCGTTTAAGGGAGCGCTATAGAGCGTTTTTACTCACGTGACAAGAGTTCAATTCCCGGGGGATGGAATATTCATTGTTTTAGTACACCAAATTGTTAGAACCAAATGTTTACTTTTATGGGATTCAGATTAATCATAAAAATGTTCAGAAAGGAAGGAAAGAGAGAAGATCAGGCATTCAACAAGGGATGATAAGTTTTCTAACGTTTCCTTTAATCAAAAATCATAGTTAAAGGAAAACTAACCAATTTACAGCACATTGTACCCTATTTTATGGAAATCTAAAAAATTATTAAAAAGAAAAACCAGAAATTAAAACTAAAAGATTAAAAAAACTTTGATCTTAATTTACAAAATTATCTAAAAATAAACCTAAAATATTGTTTTGACTTTTAAAAACCATCTTGCATTTCTCCAGCTAAAGTTTTTATAACTTTGCGATTTGATCTTAATTTACAAAATTATCTAAAAATAAACCTAAAATATTGTTTTGACTTTTAAAAACCATCTTGCATTTCTCCAGCTAAAGTTTTTATAACTTTGCGATTAATCTTGGCGGCATCAGAGATGGGAAATTCCGTGAAAAATCGTAACTGCTTTGGTTTTAAGTGGTTTCTATTAGCAACGGAGTATTCCTGCTCACACCATGTGTGTAGCTCTTCGACTTTCTCCTTCAGGTTCGACCCAGGAGCCTCAATGACGCATGCGCAGATGTCTTCTTTCCCGTCATTCCYAGGTACTCCAACAGCTACAACATCCAAGACATCTGGGTGCTCAATCAGGATCTCCTCCACTTCAACCGGAAACACAGTCTGATTTTGGCTGTCAATCAAATCAGTTTTTCTCCCCAGTACTTTTATCCTCGCTCGGTCAAACATGATTCCATAGTCAGAAGTGTGAACCCATCCATTGGCCTTCTTTGCCTTTGCTGATCCCTCGGGATCCTCGAGATACTCGAGGAAGACCTTTGGTCCACGCACACAGATTTCTCCTTTGTTTCCTAGAGGAACCACGTGACCTTGTTCATCGATGACCTTGACTTCGATGTCGGGTAGCATGTACATTTTGCCGTAGTCTTCTTTCTTGGTGATGGTTGCGTGACTTAGTGGCTGCATTCCAACTGTAAAGACCTCGGTCATGGCGTAGACTAAAATTCCCCTCTTTTTGGGGAAGACATCGAGTAGAGCTTGGACAGTCTTTCGCGGGACAAGCTGGCTACCAAAACCAAAGACAGATATCTTCGAGAAGTCGTACTTGTCCTGGATATTTTCACTCAGAAATCTGTAGACATGTTCTTGTGGGATGCTACAACCAGTACAGTTTTCAGCTTTCAGGATATCAAACATGAATTGAAAGGAATCTTCGATGGTCAGTTTAGTGTAGATAGTAGTGATGTAGGTGAACCCTATCACAAGAGCAATCGCCACTACCGGGGCGCCACACCCCCAGGATATTGGCCAACCCGAAAAAGCCCTGGTGTTGCTATCGTAACCACTCCCGGGGGGTAGGGCAAGGTTGACACCATTGATAAGGCTAAAGTGACTATATACCACTGCTTTAGCCTCACCGGTACTGCCGGAGGTGAAACAAACGACTGCATAGTCTTCTGGGTCTACTTTGCTCTGAGTAGTCATCAATTTCGTTTCATCTTCTTTATCGACTTGCTCTATGAGGTCTTCATATTTGTCCACATGCGAATGCGCAATAACGGCATCACCTTGCTTAACGGTGACGATAAACTTCACGTAGGACTCCCCCTCGGGATTCTTTTGCTCAGCTATCTCTTCGATCTCACTTAAAATGCGTTGTCTTTGTGTGTCTGGCAGGTTCAGACCACAAATCATTGCACAACACTTCAGCCGCTTGAGTAAATATAATTCCTGCCATTCCACATCCCCAGAACACATCAGCACTGCGCATGCACCAAGTCGGTTTAACGCTATCCAGCAAATAACGAACTCCAGACTGTTGGGAGCGTAGAGGAGAACTCTGTCGCCTCTTTTGAGGCCAAGTTTGAGAAGTGAAGCTGCAAACTTGATGGATTGGTCTTTGAGTTGCTGGAATGTCAGACAGGAGCGATTGCTGTTTTCGTTGTAGAAAACGATGGCTTCTTTGTCAGGATGTTGAGTGGTGTTGTGGTCGAGAAATTGAAAGAGGGTTCTGTAGTCAAGAGGGTTTGTTCTTGGTTTGTGGTAGTAGCTCATTGGGACCGACATTATGGTTTTGGTTTTCTCCCGTTTTCCGGCTGAAAAATAAGGAATAAATAAACAGGAAATAAGTAATAAAAAGGAAAGAATTAAGGGTCAAGGAAGAAAGAAGGATAGAAAGAAAGGAAAAAGATTAAAAGGCAAGCAGGCCAGCAGGCCAGCAGGCCAGCAGGCAAAAATTACAAGCCTATATATAAACTTGATCCCTTACGAAGTTCTGTAAGCCCAGGACTTCAATATAACCGGGATTCTATTGTATAAAGTTTGACGTTTGACTGACCTTTGTCTAAGCTCATTTAATATGCAATAAAAATAATATATTCAAGTGAACTGCATTTCAACTAATTAAATATTCCAGCTAATTGTTTTAGATAAGCGACGCTTTCTATTGAATAAACTGACAACACAACAAACCTTTTGAGTGTTAATCGTTGAATTTCTATAGCATTCCTTAATTAAAATTGGTTACCAATAATAATCTAGTTTGAATAAAGAATTGTCAAAGACTTTAAATGAAGGAGATTCTGTATATGTGTTGTTATTGCACAGATATCATACCAGTATCGATTATGTTAATACCTAAAAACCCTTGTGCCCTTTGAGGTATTACTACTAGAGTGTGAAATCTGTTCAACTACAACATTCAGAATCTAATGTGCAAGAGGCGAGATATCATTTAAATGAGATGTTCAAATTCATTAATTTCCAGACGTCTGAGGACTGTAGACTGTGTTCGGTTTTATGCAGCGAAAAAACGGGAGAAAAACATAAAGTATCAAGCAAAGCTTCCCAGAATAGTAGTGAGCAAATCAAGAATCGCAAGCAAGCGTGTACAATGGCTGACTTATTTTGTGCAAATATGACAGACTACACATGAACAAATTGTTGTATTAATAATGTGAACTCACCTGGAAAAGACAACTAAACAATTTGAAAGGCAATGAAAGTTGTAAAACTCGATGAAAGAGATATAAAATTCTAGGCGTTTTTGGACTGTAGGCCGTATAATTGTATACAAAAGCAGTGGTGTGTATCGTTTAACTATAAAATTACGTAACGTCAAGTGAAAGATGATATTAGACAAGGTCGCTCTAACTACGTATGCAGACTACAACGTCACGCAGCTCAATATGCGCAGTATTATTGTATCGGCTTCGAATTCTTTTTTGGCTTGGGAACATGATTTAACTGATGAACTATCAACCATCAAGCCAGCTAATAGCAGAAGTTAATTTCCTTTATAATGATAATTTTGGAAAGAGTGCCTTTACTTACCAGTGAAATAGATTAAAGAAAAGACTTAAGTTAACAATCTGTATTTTTTGTTGTTTGGTCAGTTCTGTTCTGCTCTCAGTTCTGCTCAAAGTTCTGCTCTGCTCTGCAGTCTGCTCTGTTCTGCCGGTTCAGATCTACTAGCTTTGCTCTGCTCTGTTTTGCTAGTTATGCTCTGCCCTCCCCTCCCAGCTTCTTCAAGCTTTTTTTGTCGTGTTGTTAGCTTGCGTTATCTTTGGTATTACCTGTACAATCGTGTCATGTGACGAGTACTGAGTAGATCAATCTCATCAACAGAGCTTGCTCTAATTTTTAAAAAAATCTGTCCACTTCCGAGTTATCATTGAGAATAACATTAAAAAGGAACCTTAGCAAGGTAAGTGAGCACTATTTTACTAAGTTACATGGGTCAGTTTACTTTTTTTGACCAAGTTTCATAGAATTATGTAACTTTCTGCAAACAAAGTTTTTCATTTAATACAGGCCTCGAATTAGGGCGTTATRTTCCCGACAAAATTCAACCTCAGGTTTTCAACATTCTAATAAAGAATTCAGTGTTTCACTTGCAATGCAATATTGTTAGTTGCTTTTCCGACATTGAAGATTTCGATTTCAACTTAGCTGTAATCTCGTCCAACATTCGAGTTCCACGATTCAAAATCYTTTAATAGCTTTYCGTGCCTGGACAAAATTCAACATTGCTCTTTTGACATACATCAATTTCAGCATTCAACTTTGAGAACGTTACCTAAATAATGGGAATGCAGTATGTACTAGTAACGTGACCCGCTCACGCTTTACAACGGCTGTTTGAACATCATCGATCACACGCTGTAGAAGAAATCAAATATTCGACTTCAAGCCAGGATTTTTCTGGACATATTTGGCGTGGTGGCATTCAGAATACATGTTATAATAGAGAAACTATCGTTCCTTTGAGATGTTGCATTTTTATTGCGGTTCAAGGAAAGAGAGAGAGATTTTTTTTGGATTTTCTAGCGTGATGTAGTCGATATCGGGTGCTAAGTCTTCAGCCTTCCCATTATTTAGGTAGAGAAGAGCGGATTTTGAAAAAACCCACTAAACGGCCTCAAATCGCGCTGAAACTTCGCCAGAAGACTGAACAAAGTAAAAGCAACAACTACAGCAAGTTTTGAGGCAAATTGTAGAGTGAAACATTTTATTTTCGTAACTTTATCATAACTCCCATACATTCCCTTATAAACCATACACAGGAACCTTGTTTGGGCTGCCTGTGCATAGGTCAATTAACGCACTCGTGCGTGAAGTTCAATGGTAGAACTTGAATGTTGGATTGTAATCCAACAATGACGGAAAGATTATGTGTTTGTATCTAAAAACTTTAAAACCTTAGTCCTTGAACGAGAAACTCTAATGGTTCATTTTAATATACTGTTTAGAAAATAACGTTCTCAAAGTTGAATGTTGAACTTGATGTATGTCAAAAGAACAATGTTGAATTTTGTCCAGACACGGAAAGCTATTAACGAATGTTCAATCGTGGAACTCGAATGTTGGACGAGATTACAGCTAAGTTGAAATCGAAATCTTCAATGTCGGAAAAGCAACTAACAATATTGCATTGCAAGTGAAACACTGAATTCTTTATTAGAATGTTGAAAACCTGAGGTTGAATTTTGTCGGGAATATAACGCCATAATAAAGTAAAGTAAAGTAAAGGATATAATGTTTTCTATTTCATATCACGAGTCATTCCCTTAAGAAGATACAATAATATGGGCTCAACACGAACAAAGAATTTGATTCCCAAGAGGCAGGGAATCCGAATTGGGAAAACGTATGCCCAAAGTAAAAAGGTCTTTTTGTTTTACAGATTTCCTTAACAAGATGGCTTCAATGATGAGCTACTACCACAAACAAAGACCAAACCCACTTGAAAATCGAAGGGTCTTTGAGTATCTAGACGAGAACGCATCTAGAATACCTGACAAAGAATTACTGGTTTTCTTTGATGAGTACAACAAAAGGTCCTCGCTTAGTTTCAAGGAGTTCAGTGATCGTACCCGGTCCCTTGCCGCAGCCCTGGCCGAGCAGGGCATAAGACGAGGGAATACTGTTCTCATCTGCGCCCCTAACTGCCATGAGTATGCGATCGCCATTCTTGCGTTAAGTCGTATTGGGGCATGCGCGTTCATGCTCAACTCATTCGATCTGACAGAAGCAATGGAGAATCAGCTTAGAAAACTGAAATGCGAGGGAGTTATTTTTGGTCTTGACCTAGAAGTCGACCCCCAAGAAAGAGAACGGGCTTTAGAGGTACTGAAAGGTTTAATTGCTCTAAGCTCAGATCAGAATAATTTCCTAAAAATGGTAGCTTTGATTGGGGGAAATGAAAATACGAAGAGTGAAATCCAACATGAGAATGTTTCGACCTTCGAAGAGTTGCTTGAAAAGGGGTCCCACATGGGTAAATCTGCCCTAGATGAGCTCCAAAGAAATGTTGACAGCGAGGATCTTTTGTTTGCTATCCAATCTTCTGGTACAAATGAGCAGCGCAAAGCTACCGGCCTCACTCACCATTGCATTGTCAATGTGATTAATCTCGATGTACAAGGCGGCTTTGAAGAAGATTCTGTGACATTCTCAGGTTGGCCAATCTGCTGGGCTAGTGAAACACCAGCGTTTATCGCAGCTACAATGGTGGGTTTCACTTTCATTACTGCACCGTTCTCCAAGATCACGTCTGAAGATTCGTTCCACTTCATGCTCAAAATCATCGAGCAGGAAAAATGTGATGACTGCCATATTCCACAACAACATGTCGCGAAACTCCTATCAGAGAACTTCCAGGACAAGTATGATTTGTCAACTGTTGAAAGCTTTGGTTATGGCGGCCAGTTTGTTCCTCGCAAGACTATCCGTTCGCTCTTGAATGCCTTCCCTTCAAAGTTTGCGATCTTGTTGTACGCATCCACAGAAGCCCTGCTTGTAGGACTCCAGCCATTAACCAAAGAAAGTTTAGACAATTCTGACGACTTTGGAAAGATGTTTATTGTGCCTGACATGGAAGTTAAGATCGTAGATGAAGAAGGATTGGTTGTTCCTCTCGGGACAAAAGGTGAAATCTGTGTTCGCGGGCTCAAGATCTTTAAGGAGTACATCGGGAATCCCGAAGCAACGTCGAGGGCAAAAACGAAATCCGGATGGTTCTTCTCGAAGGATTATGGCATCATGTACGAAGGTGGGAAGATAAAAATCATGGGAAGAGAGTCAGACATCATCTTACGAGGAGACCAAAAGTTCTTCCCAATAGAGTTCGAAGATATCTTACAAGAGCATCCGGATGTCCTTGCAGCTATAGTTGTTGGCGTTCCTGATAAACTTCTCAAGAAAGAGATATGCGCATGCGTGATTGAGGTTCCCGGATCTAATTTAAAATCGAGGGTTGCTGAGCTGAAGGAATGGTGCAACAAGGAGTTTTCTAAGTCCCCGGATGTTAAAGGCGTGGTCCCTAAGTATTTTGTATTTATGGAAGAATTTCCTATAAAAAGTCGTTTGAAAATTCATCGTCAAGCTATTGAGCAGTTTGCCGTTAACAAACTAGGACTGCAGTAATTGTAAATTTTCAAACTAATGAGAATCAACTGAATGCACGAGTTTAATATATTTTTTTGCTTACTTGTACGTACATTAGATTTTTCCTACTGAAATTTTATTGCAACACTTTGGTTGCTTCCGAAAATTTATTCCTCATTCTTAAATTTATACTACTGATTTCAACTCATTAAAAGCATTATATATCAAAAGTATGGTGGTGTGTTGGTTTCATGCAGTGTTTTTTAAAGAAAATTCAATTTCTTAAACACAGAATTTAGAATTTAATTTTGTTTAGAGGGTTTCGGGTTTCTGATGGATATGGTCAGGGAAAGAATATAGGCCGCAAGGAAAGTTTCTCAATAAATCAATAAATTAAAATAACACTGACAAAAAATTATAATTCTCTTTTAATTGTCGAGTTTTGCGACAAAATGGACGTTTCTTGGCCTTTCTCATGCAGCACCCATCTTGGCATGAAGCTGCATGAGCAAAAGACTTTCTACCATGTAGCCTCACATTCAAGCGCTTCAGAATGAGGCTATGCATGTTCAAAAAAAGGTTTCATTCCCTAGCCTCTTCTGCATGCATCTGTCTTATTTACTTACCACAGGTATCCCGCTAAAGAAATAGACCATATTTAAGGGTATCCTTGACCATATTTAAGAGTATCCTTGACCGTATTTAAGAGTATGCTTTTTTCAAATGCCCATAGTTAAATATGATAATTCAAAAGAGGATTCTCTTAAATATCATGTGGTAAAGGATAAATAGAATAAAATAATAAATACGGTCAGGACACCTTTCGATTTTCAGTTGTCGTAAGGATCGGCATCGGAATCGGAATCGGAAAAAAATGGAAACCTTCCGATCTTATGACTTATCGCTTATGACTCTGCTCACGTCTCCGTTTTCTTCGTCATTAGCTGCTCATGACTCCGATTCCGACCCCGACTCCGATTCCGAGGACGTAAGTGAGGAATTTTCATAAAAATTGAGATTGGGCTACCTGTGGTACAGCGGTTTATGTACCAGGAACATGCGTCGAGTGACATCGAGCGGGAACTCTAAATTTTACTTAAATTTTGACTCAAATTTTCACCATGTTTTCTCAAAATAATGGCCTAAAATAACCATCAGGGACMACAAATCTTCTCACATACCATGGCTTTGGATGTGACGGTGTGCCTTAAAGGTCTTTCATCGGCTTTTTGCCAATATCGATTCCACACGACGGAGCAAACAGTAAAGGACTTGGAAAGRCAAGTTGATGTGAGTAGATAGTTATACTTGAATTGCTTTAATAATTTTATATAATTCTCTTCTAATTTATCTCCCTATTCACGGCTTTGACACGAATTTTGAATTCTAATAATTTCATTGATATTAGATACGAAGTTTGGTTCTTATATTTTAGGTTCTTATTGGTGTTTCATCATCTAGTAGCGCCTTACAGGGTTTCTGTGCGAAAGACCTTCTTCCAGCAGAATGTTTATCATCTTTAGTTGGTTTGCTGAACGAGAAGACTATTCGTCCCAACTTGCATATGAAGGCTATGATCCTATTATTTAACTTGGGTAAGAAAACAGCTGTTATAAGAATGGCGATTGTTTACTGTATGTTTCTTGGTAATATCAACCTTAAACTTGATTGTGTCAATACTAGTAAAAGTTTATATTTTAAGCTCTCCAGATAAAAGGTCATAGTTACAGTAACCATTAATCTCTTATCTGGGGACCTGAAAATATAAACTTTTACTAGTATAAAGAGAATCAAGTTTAAGACTGTACACTGGTATTTAGCAATATGTAGTGACCAAAATTGAAGTCGTTGTTACAATTGTTGTTACTATTATTCGTTCCTGTCGTTGTTGCTGTTTTTTGTTGCTGCTAATGATATGGCTACTACTAAATGTTGTTGTTGTTGCTGATGATAATATGATGCTACTGTTATTGTTGCTGAGTTGTTGCTACTGCTGCTGTGTTGTTGTTTGTTATTACTGTTGTTGTTGCTTATGATAATATTGGTACTGCTAGTGTTGCTGCTGTTGTTGTTGTTGATGTTACTAATATAGTGCTAGTTGGTGTGTGATGTAAGCAACTGGCATTTAATAATATGCCAATTATAGATCAATTTGCTGAAAAAAAAACAAAGCAATATAACAAGAACTACTGCGTACTTAATGGTTGGCACATTTATAACACATTGCTAATGCAACTACTGCTATTGGGGAGCATTCATCCTTTAGAAGGGGGAGGGGGCTGGAGGAATAACTGTTAGCATATTGTATGTGCCCAATTTGCTAGCCCACCCGGCTTGGATTTGGAATTTTAAAATGACCTCCTAATACCTACATGTAACTATAAAAGATTGTAAAAATGCAAGGATTTTACCAGAAAAAAGCAGTGATCCCCTTTTTTCACTTGTAAATATTTGATTCCCCCTTCTCCTAGAAATGCATGCTCCCTTAAATGCAATTGCTACAATTTCCTTTATTTTCCATTTGATTTTTATTTCTACATCTACAGCTAGTGACAATGAAACCAGAGAAATACTACACAGTACTTATCACCTGACATCCACGCTAGCAGCCTTCTTGCATAGACACCAGGTTACCTGTAATGAAAAATTTGTGCTACAGTGTCTCCAGCTGCTGCAAAGAATCACATATTGTTGTAGAATTACAACTACTGGTGGATATCTAGAGGAACTGATCAGATTCTTGGTCAAACATATGTAGGTTTATCATTTATCAACAAATCTTGGTCTGATATAGGTCCTACATTGTAGCAAAGGTTTTACCTCACACTTGTTTGAAAAAATTACTAAGTCAGGGCACAGCTAACTCACAGATTGCATTGAAATTTAGCTGTTTAGGTTTTGCAGAGGGAGAAAAACTTGAAAACTCAGAGACACAATTGTGTTATTGTTTTACTCTCATGTACTATTTGTTGTTATTCTTTTCAGTCAGATGCCAGAGTCAGAGTTCACAGTTCCTTGTCTTGGTTTACTAGCAAATCTATGCCGGCATAACTTGTCAGTACAGGCACACATTAAAGCTATGGTAACTTATTTCAAATCTTTTTTGATTAAATGATAATGAATGAACAATGAGATTTAGCTGTGGCATCCTTACAGAGTAGATATTTATTAACTGAAACCTAATTGGAATATAGAAGTGAACATTTGAAAAATTACTAACTTATAAATGAGGTAGTTTTTAAAGCCTTTCTCTGATTCCCGATTCTTAATATATTAACCCCTGGCCATGCCATTTAAACATGTATGTTTGTATGCTTTTGATACATTTGTTTTTTGTTTCATTCCAGGAACAAATAAAATCATTATATAGAACACTGATATCCTTCCTGTCGCATGGTAACCTTACAGTAATAATCTTCTCTTTATCGATACTGACTAGTCTGTGCCTTAATGAACAGCTTGGAGAAAAGGTATTGACCTCTTCAATCTTTCCATCCCTCCCTCCATTTACCCATTTATCTGTCTGTTCCCCACCCACCCATGCACCCACCCATCCATCCTTCCATTTCACTGATCTATCCATTCGTCCACTCGAATGCCAGTCATTTTGAGACACAGTCGTTTCGAGACAGGTCGTTTCGATACACTAAGATACAAGTTCGAGACAGGCATAAATCCGTTTCGATACACCTCATACACCGTTCAATATATATCATATATAGAGGATATTACAGGTTCAAAACGATCTTATAAAGATCTTATAAAGATTTATTGCTATGTTGAGATACAAGGATACCAGACCAAACGTTACCAAGTTTTCTGTAAATTATTGACTCGAAAACTCGTCGACTYGTCAATCGACAACAAGAATGTTCGACTCGTCAAACTACCAGTTCTTAGTCAGAACTCTATGATTTTTTCCAAAATCTTCATCAGAAACTCACATCTTCTGAACTTTATGAATAATTTTTAGATAAATATGAAAGGGGATTCAAGTTTAGAGAGAAACACGCAAACGACTAGCTCAAAAACTTTAGATGCGGACGAGATGTTTTGACTCAACAACAAGAATGTTTGACATGTTCGATTGACGAGTTGACGAGTAAATAACTTTCCGTTTTCTTGCTTTAATAGCTTTTTAATTCCAAGAATATCCACCAGACATTCCAGCTTATCTTCAATATCCTTTTCAATGGTGAAGGATCTCTGACAAGAAAGTATTCTGTAGATCTGTTTGTAGATCTGCTGGAGAGCTCAAAGATTCAGCAATCACTGGTTGTGTAAGTCAGAAAATTGATCTTAGAATGCGAAACGTCAAACATCAAAAACTGTTGACTTTGATTAGCTCGCTGCCATATGCTTGTTGAGCTGTGACTGTGATCTTTTCTAAAATTTTGATTAGCTGATTTTTTCTTATCTAATTTTTTTGCTCTGGCAGTGTTGCAACATCGATGCGACTGTGTCCACACTATGATCATGTCGTGTTTAGGGTGTCTGGTTAGATGGAAAGTAAATTCTCTTGCAATGTGATTGGTCTGGCATATGCCCTGCCATGTCTTGACAGTGTTCATGCAGTGAGATTTTAAGTTATACAAAAACTGATCTACAGCAATGAAACTTCCAATATATTAACTTAAGGTTTCTGTACCAGAAGGCTCATAAGGCCATACCAATGGAAACAGTGGTAATATACACAGCCCTGTAACTGTATTTAGCAAATCTTGAGCTGTAAAAGGTTAACCTTTCTTTTTAAATTTTTTTATTTTGCAGACATGAACATTTGTCATTTTACTTGGAACAAATTTTAAATCTTTTCTCATCCACAGCTGCAGAAGAGGCAGCAAAGGTGACGATACTTGAATAATAATGTCATTGGAATCATGGTGATGATGGGGATAATGATGATGATGGTGATGATGGTGCTAATCATAAGGATGGTGATAACGTTGGCGATAATGATGATGATGATGATGATGATGAAAATGATGGTGATGATGATGGTGATGATGATAATGATGATGATAATGATGATGATGGTGATAATGATGATGATAATGATGGTGATAATGATGATGATAATGATGATGATAATGATGATGATAATGATGATGGTGATGATGATAATGATGATGATGATGATAATGATGATGGTGATGATGATAATGATGATGGTGATGATGATAATGATGATGATAATGATGATGATAATGATGGTGGTGGTCACAACGATAATGATGGTGATGATGATTATGTTTCTGATAATATTTCTGTTTGTGATGATGCACTCTGATGATGTTGATAATAATGCTGATGACACCAGTGGGAATGCTGATGATGGTGATAATGACAATGAATATGATGATGATGATAGATAAGTAGCAATAGGCCTTTCTTAGTATTTATGCAGCTCATTAAATATTAAGAAAGACCAATTAGATTCAAACCCTTGCAAAATCAATTACCATCAACCTTTTTGATCAAATAAAATACAGAAAAAATAATTATTAATTTGTCATAAGACATACGTACACTTTACATGTATGCTTAATATTGTACCCTACCTATATTTTTCCTAATAGATATATATTTTTTCAGATCTTTGAACTCCTTTTGACATTCTGTTCAGTGAATGGTGTGCGAACAATGTTGTGTAAGACATTCCTGTGTTCTGAAGTGACCAAGGCTAAAGGAGAAGACAAGATGAATGAGATGTATAATTCTGTAGTGTACTGGGCAAGCCAACCAGTAGAATCACACCCATCTGTATCTTTGTATGCCTTGGACTTTCTTAAAGAAATGTATGAGGTCAGTTGATTACAGGATGACACACAAAAGTATGACCACATTTAATATATTGGTATATTTCTGTGCACAGGCTTTTAGACCTTTAGTTCATGATGATAGCATTATGATGGTGATTGCGATAGTGATGATGATGGTGAGGATAATGATAATGCTGGTGGTGGTGGGGATATACGATAGTGATGATGATGATGGCTGATGGTGATGGCTGATAGTGATGGTGGTGGTGATGATGATGATGGTATTGGGGATAGTGATGATGATGACTGATGGCAATGATGATGGTGGTGGGGATAGTGATGATGATAGCTGAATGATGGTGATGATTGTGATAATAATGATGGTGGGGATAGTTGTGATGATGATGATGACTGATGATGATAGTGCAAAGGTGATGGTTAAGATAATGKTGATAGTAAAGGTGATATATTTGATAATGAAGATGCAGGTGATGATAAATATATTGATAATGATCAAAGTGGTGATGTTGATAATGGTAAATGATTATGATTATGTACTGTTTAATAAACGAG